AGACATATATACAATTTTTTTTCTTCATTCCTAAACGCATGTTCTTTCTCACTTTATATCAGCAGATTTTTTCATTTATATAAACATAAAGGTTAAAATGTAGGTTTTATAAATAATTTCATGTAAAAAATTTATTACTTCAATATAATATAATGACACTTTACTAGATATGCAATCTAATAATATTAAGTTCAATAGCAACAGTATAAATTTTTAAATAAAATGATCACGAGATATATTACAATCATAAAAATTGAATATCTATCATAGTTTATGATCAAATAATGTCACTTACTTTATATTCAGTAAGTGATTTGAGACAAATCAATAATTCCTTCATAACTTGAATATTGAATAATTATAATAACTTAGTTTTAAGTAAAGTAAATAATTTAGTAATTATAGTTATTATTATGCTATTTCATAGTTGCTATCTAGAATGTTATAATGGAATAATGATTTAAATATATAATTGTGAAGAAGCTAAGGTTATATCGCAACGTTGGATTTTTACGTATTTTTACCAAATGATATTATTTAACTTAAAAAACATCAATTTAATGGATAAAGTAGAGATGATATTTACATTAATTTTTTCTAATATTATATTATATTTAATTTAAGATAACTATTAACATTATCATATAGTTAGAATATTATAGACGTTAAGTTGAAAATTATTATAATTTCTTTATCTTTACTATTTCAGATGACATAAATAGAGAATGTGATACTTCAACAATTCTCGATAAGTAAAATGGTAATCAATATAATTTTTAATTTAATTTCTTGGGACATTTTCATTATTAACGATTTTTACATAAAGGAAATGTAAATTTTTGCATTTTAATTCCTTTGATTCTTAACATTATGCAGTGCACCATTTTGACTGGTTTATAAAGAAGTCTATATATATTGTTAGAACGATTTTTCTTTATTTAGATCGAAGAAATTATATGTGAGCTCCTTTAATGATCTTTTCTAATATGTTTAGTTGATGGAAATTAATCATTCATTTGAAAATTAACTTGATAACAAATAGTCTCACTTCTCTAAGCGATTTTTCTGCAGAAATTATTAATATCCAAATCCGGAATGTTTTGTCAAAAGATAAATCATATTTTGGAATTTGAATAAAAACTTAATAGTAATCAAGCATGTTTAATTAGCATCGAAAACAAAATTTAAAAACATGAAAATTACAAATAATTTTGTTTGGAATCATTAGATTTTTGAGTAAAGTTTAATTAGTGCATGTTTTTTGAAATTACTTAACAGATTTATTTACATCAAATCTAGTTAAGTAGAGATTGGAATACAATTTTACATTAAATTAATCAAATTAAAATTCTAATATTTAGTGGCATGATAAGTGCGGCTAGGTACCTTTATAATAATTTGTATATCAATTAAAATAACTATTTTCAGAATGCTGCAAGTGTAAGTAATTAATTAAAAAATTAAGAAAAAAATAACAAGGATTTTATTAAAAATAATAATTAAAAAAATCGATTATTAAAATTAAAAAATAATCCAATTATTATCTAAAAATACACATACCGCGAGTATATCTAAGAATCTAATGATTTAAAAATAATATAGATAATTTGCGAAATAAAGAAAATAATAATTATAAAAAAAAAAATAGATGATTTTTAACAACTATGGAAGTTTATTTTTTAATAAAGAATTCTAAATAGCTTCGAAAAGTTATCATTAGAATTAAATGTTTTCGAGAATTTAAGCTGCATTAAATATAAATTTGCAACAATTTAAATATTTTTAATTCGATTTGTGATCTACGCTATAAAAAGAGTCGATTAATCGAAACCGAAATTCGAATTTTAGAATCCAAACTCGAGAAATAATTAATTATTCACGATTAATCAATTATATAATCGATACTACTTATTTTAATCGATTCCAATCTCTAATTTAAAGTTTCATTCAATGGATGAATTAAATCTTGTAAATCTTGTATTCGGATCTGCAAGCCATGAAGGATATCTACGTACGCTTAAATGCTTTTGTTCAAAAAAATTAATTCAATTTGCAAGAAATAAATTCAAAAATAGAGGAATTATTCACCTTCATAGAATTTAATAGGTCTCTCGAAATCTTAAAGATTATATATAATACAAGTAGTTTTTGTTAACTCGCTACCTATAAATTGTGGTTATGAAGTTTTTGACGACATTGCATGTTCTTTTGAATTAGAAGGGTATTATTAGAATTATTGTTACAGCAAATTTATTATCGGTAAAAAAAGCCATATACCATTATTTTTATTAATATAAATATCCAAAAAAAGTTCAGGTCATGTAACTAACACATAATCTGTCACTCCGCTATGTTTAATTGTCACAGATGCCACCTCACTTGTGGAGTCAGTCGCATTAGGTTATTAAAGAAATAATTAATATAAATCTTAAACCAGGGCAGAGATCTTTTTTTATCCAAAATTGTAAAGAAAGAACTAGAACAAACGACATATTAATGAAAAAAAAAACTGTACATCGATAAATTAATTTTTGAAAAAATATTGACAACGAATGTTACACAAAAAGATTGATAAATTGTATGATCGATTGGGATTTTGATTCGATTAACATTGATCAATAAATAAGTTGTTTTCAAGTTCATTTCAAATTCGGCAATAACTGATGGCTGGCTTTTCGATTGACGTGACGTAAAATTTTTAACATTCCATTTAATAATATATAGTTGGAAATTATGTTCCCGAATTTTTGGAAAAAGATAATTAAATCATAAATCACGTGTCAACAAGTTGTCGCATTTTTATATTGTTTCACAGCACAAATTCATTAATGAACGGTGGCTTAGAAACTTTATTAACGTTAAATGATTTACCAAATGCTTTTTTTTTGCTTTTCTCCAAGATTTATTTTTTCATTTCTTTATAAACAAATAAAAAAAGATTTAAAATGCAAATTTGTAAAGATTCAAATGAGTGGATTAATAGGATTGAAAAATATATTTCAAGCAAAAATGTCAAATACTTATAATACAAACATTTTAGCAATATATAAAAGATCGATACTTGACGTTTTGGAAAAGATTATCGTGCAAATTGAAAAGGTTCTTGCGTTAAAATCGTTTCATAACTTTAACAATGCCACCGTTAAAGACAATTTATATATCAAGCCAAATATATACTTGTAATAATTTAGCTCGAACTTCAACGTGAAGTTGATTTCCATGATGATATTATTCGCCTTTATGGGATAACTTCAAAAAAAAGTATTTTTTTTTCATAATAAATTTATTAAAGATATATGTTGATATTTTTATTTATTTATTTTAACTCATTTATATATTTATTTTTAAAAAAAAAATTAATTAGAAATTAATAATGTTCAATTGAAAAAGTATTGGTTAGTAATGGAATATGCCGATGGTGCACTTAAAACCTACTTGGGATGATAAATACTCATTTGCATTCCAGTTGTCTGTGTTTACATGAAGAAGAAATTGTGCACCGTGATTTGGTAATCTTACCTTATATATTTCTCTTATATTATTTATTATTTGCTTTAATAATTTTACTAATTTAACAATGTAATTTTTTATACAATAGCATTCTGGCAATATATTAATTCGTCACGGCATGATTAAACTTGCCGATTTTGAATTGGTAACTAATCAGACAAGGGTCTTTGACGTAATTCCTTATATTGATCCAAAAAGATTTAGTGGACAACGAGGAAATGACAGTACATAGCAACAAGATCCGTTAACTGTGAAAAGTGACGTTTATAGTGTTGGCATACTCTTATGGGAAATATTTAGCGGTCGTCCTCCTTCCTTTTTATGCTGAAGTTGAAGATTACGACATTTATCTAGCTATATATATTGCACAAAGAAAAAGAGAAAGCATTATTCCTGGTATGCCTGAAGATTATGTAAAAATTTATACTGGTAAATATATATTTATAAATTTAAGTTTAAATGTAATTTTTCGATCATTAAATAGTTCACATATTTTAGAGTGCTGGAATATTGAGCCAGACTATCGTCCTTCTATGAATAAAGTAGTTGAAGAATTAAATGCGATTATAAAAAAACTAATATAATAGAAAAAAAAATGAACAATTTAATAATGAAAAATTAAACTTTCAATTATCAGAACAACCCCTTTATTCTGGATTATCTCGAATGATTCATAACTTTACTTTTAGTTAGAAGAATTAGAATCGAATAATGAAACTTTACATCAGCCATTGTTTACGATGATGCAATAGTTAGCTTAACAATTACAGAATTTAATGAGAATGACATATTCAACACCTTAGGAGGATATCGAAAATTATAAATACTCGACTGTAACAATACTCAGATCACATGCTTACCTACATTACCCGATTCCTTAACAAGTCTAAGCTGTTCATTTACTAATATTACTTGTTAAACAAATTTACCTAAATCATTAAAAAATATCCACCCTGAATATTTAAGAACTCAATTCTCAAACAACCATTTTATTAGTTCTTTCAAATAACTCTTTAATAAAACTTAAGATTTAGCTGTTTTATTTTTAACTACTTTTGTATCTTATAATTTGACTTTACTAACCATTTTATAATAATTGTATAAGTTAATATCTAGTAACGAAAAATGATTTAATAAATGACTTTTTTAACTTGAAAGATAAATTTGGCTCTAATTTTATCATAAATAATAAATCTTTTATTTTACATTTTACATTTTCATTTTACATTTAATACACAACAGTGAAGATACTTGGCTAAATGCGATCACTTACTTTATAACGGTGATTCAGGAAGAAGTCGATAGCATTATTTTTGGTAAGGGTATGATTTTTCTGTAGAAGTATAGACTAGAGCTACAAACAGGTCAGATCGGATCAGGTAATTGACTTGACCCGACCTGATAAGGTCAGGTCAGGTCAGACATAAAATTGACCTGAATTAAATATACATT